ATATTATCTAATGCTAAATTAATTATTCAGGAATTATTTGAAATAATGCAATGTAATAAAAAATTTTTTGAAGAGCAATTTTTATCTAAACTTTTTACATTTCATGATTTTGTTGAAAAAAATCGAGTAAAAAAAAACAATAGAAAAGATGTAAAAAGAAAACAAAAAAAGAAGGAAGGAAACATTTACAATTCTAGTTATTCGTCGCCAAAAAAGTGCTGAACTAACGTTTTGGTAAATGGGGTGTTTTAAACTTATCCAACAATTTGTTGCTGTATGCATTTCCCCCCCACTTGACTGAGTTTCAATGAAGAGAAAGGAGAATCATTTACACCCCTTTTACTTATCTCACTGGGTGGGAACCGTGGTCGAGTTCAAGTGAAAAACCTTCCTTCTGAAAACTGCCGTAACAGGGGAACTCAAAATCTCAGACCCTACCGGAATGAAAGAGTTAACTTACATGCTGAAATTCTTCTATGGAAAACAATTTATTATTACTTCTTATAAGGTATGACTAAGTTTTTTTTTATGAATTTGGGGAATATTTAAATCTTAATGACCAAAAACATGATTATAAAATTTGCTTAAATACTCTTATAAAGTATATTCTTATAAAGTATGTTCTTATGAAGTTTAATCTTATAAAGCACTTTGGTAGAGAATAATATTTGTCTTTTGCAAAATTTAAGTTCATAGTAAAAGTAAGATAGTAATAGATTTAAAGTTTTCGAACACTAAATAGTTAACAAATGACTCGTTTGGCTGAAAACTTGAGGCAATTAAATTCATTTTTTTCGCAAGTAATTTCTAGAAATTTATTTTTTTAAGCAAAATTTTAGTTAATTACTAGAAATTAAAATATATTCCTCACAGGTTTTCCTTTTCTCTGTGCTGGCCGTCGCCATTGCTCAACGATATGGTTCCGCGATACGACCAGTACGTCCGATACTTCCATCTCTACCGATTGGTCAATTTCCCGTACTTCCTGGCCCGGCTTCATCTACATTTGCTACATCTCTTGGTAACGCTCCCGTAGGAATTGTTGACAGAAGTGTTGGACAAGGATATGGTCCAGGATATGGTGCTGGATTTCCAGGATTTGGATTTCCTTTTGGATTCCCCTTTGGATTCCCATACTTAGGATTCCCTTATGGAGGACTACCTTTTGGTGGTTTCCCCTATGGCGGACTTGGAGAAAACGTCTTCAGCACGTCCTTGGGAGATGCTAAAGTAGGAACAGTTAGCAGATCAACAGCATAAGCAACAAAAATGGATATAAAGCGTAAGTCAACTCACTTGTTTAATTAAAATTTAAATTAAACACTTTGAAATTTTTAATTAATAGCACTATTTAAGTATATTGTCTTTTAAACCTTATAGAACCACCTTTTTCGATTAATTTTGAGTTAAAGTATTTTTTTTTAATTAAGATTGATTTCTATATTGTGATTCATTCAGCTTATTTCTTGAAATTTATTTAAGATTTAAGAACAGTTTTTGGTAGAAAAGCGAATTTACCAATTTTACACACTGTGAAAAAGTGGCCATAAACTTGAACTTCTGTGTTTATAACTAAATTGATAAATACTGTATTTATGAATACAAATAAGCGATGAAATGAACTAAATTATAATGCACAAAGCTCCCAAGTGTATGACTCTTTTCTTCGCCCCACGCTAATCTTTATTGTTAAACGTTTGTGTAAAAAAAAGCTGATGATAAGCATTCGTACCACTACCAACAAATAATGCAAAATTTGCAATCCTCAATTTATAACGCTAAAATTTTCCCTTATTCAAAAATAATTTTTTCAAATCATTGTCAATATATTTTAAAAATAAATTCTTCAAATCCGAAATAATTTTCTCATTTTGAAAAAAGTTCATTGTAGAAAAATTGGTACATTTTAAAGCAATTTTTTGATAAAATTATACTTTGTAGGAAAGATTGAAATGTCAAGCTATTAAAATTAGAATGGTGAAAATTATTATGGTATAAATTATGAAATATTTAAAAAAATTGCTTTCATTTTACAGTTTCTTGCTTGTTGTACGACTTATACCCACAAAATGCTGCAATATACTTTATTCAAAAATAATAATTTTATATGAAGGGGAAGAAAAATCTCCTTTGTTATTTTGTTTTTTAAAAATCACACACTTAAATATTAGTTTTTTGAATCCACTGTCTTATTTTTAATTTTAAACTTTTGTTACTTTAAAATTTTAAAATGTTTAATTTTCGTTTTTAGGTACCTAATTTTTTGATAATTAAGCAGCAATATCGTAATCAAAAGAGCAGAAAATTTTTTTTCTAGGAAAGAGAGCAATATTTAAGATTTTATTTTATTATATTTGCTAGTAGAAAAATAAATACTTAGTTTTTCTATGTCTTATAAATTAGGAAAAAGGACATAATTAATTCTAAGAAAAAAAATTAAATTAACTGTAATGAAATTTTTTTCTGTGTCGAGTGTTTGTTTAAAAATCAGGTCGATGTTTTAGTTTTATTTATTTATTTAATATTTTTTCTGCTTGTGTTCTGCTTAATTTTGAAATATTCAGATAAAAAAAAAAGACTTTATCCGTAGTTTTCAAATTTTTATTTTTTCCAAACACATTTCTTTATTTTTTCATAATTATACTTAGAAAACAACAAAATAAATGTAAATGCTTGAAAATATTACGTAAAATATTTCTTTTCATTATTTTTTTACATTTGTATTTTTTTTAAAAAAATGCACCTTATTATCAAAATTTTAGTAAACCATTTGATTCATATTTGAAAAAAAAAATATTTTTTAATTGTAAAAATTCTAAATACTACTTGAAAAACTTCATAAAAATAAAGTGAACCTCATATTTAAAATCTAACAAAATATTCAAACTAAAAGAATTTTGTAATGATGAAGTTTTGTGATAAAATTTATTAAATATTCGTTGTATCATACTCGTTGTTTATTGTTAAGTTTTAAAACCCTCATCAAAGTACGAAACTTTTTTTTCAAGCAATATGAATAATTTGTTTTAAAAAAACTCTTAATTTTAAAGCTATTAACTATAACGATGTTAATTTCAAAACGATCCACATATAACAATGTTAATTTCGAAATTCTTTTCTCAAGAAGAGCAAAGTTAAATTCAAACGTTTCAATTAATTATGTGATTTTTCAACTGAATCAGCCTAAGAAAAGTTTTTACCGCCTAATCTAGTGTAATAGTTTAATTAGTATAGACTAAATTACTTAGAATTTCAAGATTATTTTAAATGCATAGTATTATAGTTCCCCTTAGAACCATAAATTAAGGATGCAGCAAATCTTTCAAACATTATGGTTCAAAACGATTAAAAAATTATAAAAGTAAAAGCAAAAACTTTACCGGAGTAAAGAAAAATTTTAAAAATAAATATTATATTTCATTTTCGCTAACACTTATTTCTATGTCCTTGCAAACAGTTTAGCCTCCCTTTTGATTAAATCAGAGAAGTAAAATGTTATTAAACCATCTTCAATTTAGTGATAATTAACTAAATTTTGATGCACTTCTTTTCTTTTCAATTCGAACACACCATATGTGTTCGGATAGATGCATTTAACAAAATTTCTAACATTTTTGATTCGAGGGTGTCTAATATATACTTTTTTATGTAAATAATATAAAATTATTTATACGACTAGCTCATCTAGTATGTTCAATTGCCTTCTAATTGTTTCATCATTTAGTTTATACTCATTTTTGTTTCGTTTCAGGTCACGTGGTCTTAACGCCGTTTGATGATATAGTATGAAGAAACTGAGTGTGGATGTGATGAATGAATTTCTTAGATTATTGTCATTCAAAATTTTTATTTAAATAAAAAAAGTTGAAATTAAATTTTTGTTTATTTCTTCAGAAACAATTATAATGAATTGTCCAATTATTATCATACATTGTTTATTAATTTTCAGGATGATTTACATTGAATCATTTCTATACACTATCCAAAATCCGCAAACAATAGTGTTAATTTCAAGATTCGATGAAAGAAAAAACTAGTGTTCATCACTATGCTATTATATTTCAGCTATAAATAATTATAATTTAGTGTAGAACAGCCCTTGATAACTCTAACTCATGTGTACTCTTACATTTTTTTTTGTTTACAACTTGCAAATTTAGCTATTTTTTAGTACTAATTTTGAGCATTTTGAATTAAAAGTAATATTAGCAATAAGCTTACGCTTTTTTATATGTAAACCTAATTTTTAAGAATTAATAGAAAATTCTAACCTTATGTTGCACATAAAGCTTGATTATTAATTAGATTTTAAAAAGATTAGGATTTTAGAAATAGTTTTTATTACTTTAAATAGCACTTTTATGATTCAAATACGCATCTCATTCTTTTTGTATTGACGTTGAAGAGAGCGTAAGGAATTTTAACACATACTATGCTATAAATCATTTACTAACAATTAATAACCATGCATTGTTGGTGAATAATTAATAATAATATATTAATTAATAATAATTTATTAATTAATTTATTGATTTTATTCAGTGATTAAAAACTTATTGATGAAATGGGAAAGAGGTTGATAAATTAGTAAAATTTAACGCTTGTTCTTTTTTGTTCTATGAGGTAACCCTAAAATATGGAATTTTAATATCAAAAGGAATTGGATTACTTTATAAAAGAAGAAAACATGGAGAGGCAAAAGAAGAACTAATGAAAAAATGTATAAATAGAAATAAAATAAAAAACCTACAAAATAATGGCCCATTTATTATTGTTTATTTTTACATCTTTTCCGCATGAGTAATTTATTGCATACTTGAAACAAGTTCTGTGTTATTTAATTCATCTGATGCATAGTGTGTATTATTTCAATAAAAAGGATGTAGGGTAAACTAACCAGTGAACGAGCACTTAAGCTTCGCTTGACTTTTAAAAAATCATATTAATTTCAAAATTCTTAATTTTAGTTAAATGACAGTGTCAACATATTTGTTACTAATTGCAAATAATGTTAAAAAAATTTAGAGAACTTACATAATATTGTTTTAAAGTTTTGAAGGTTCAAATAACAAGCAGTAAGAAGACCAAGTGAAGGAACAGCTCTTACCAGTGAATGAACACCAAGTAAAAGAACACTTAATTTTGGTTATTTTTTAATGCTCCTTATGAATTTATAAGCCATACAAATATTTAAAAACAAGCCTATGAAATTATAACATATAAATACTTGGAAAATGTTAACTTTTTTTTGTAATCATGAATTGAAAATTAAAGTGTCAACATATTAACACAAACTGTTCATTCACTGGGAAATCTATGCCCAGTAAAGGAGCATTCCCTCACTGGTTAGAAGTTGTTTTTCGTATTTTTAATATACTTTTGATGCGCGAACATCACTAAAGGTTCAAGAAAATTAAAGTTCATCTTTTATTTTCATTAACTTAGAAAAAAACCAGTAAAGAAACACTTGTTCCTTCACTGGTTTTTCATCATTTGGTGATCCAGTGAATAAACACCCCCTTATCTCAGTACTTTATTATGCTATGATGCTTAAAAAAATAAAACATAACTTCAGTAACTATATTTTGAATTCTCTTTTTCTCAGTGAGAAAAATAAAGCTATTACATTCAATTAATTCCACTTCAAACATATAAATACAAATCCTCACCTTATAATTTTTTCAAAGAAACAAGGTGTTGCAGAGATAATAACAAATTCAAAATTTTTTTCAGAGAAGTCTATTTGACCGGGTAATCCAAAACATTGCTAGATGACTTCCTATTGTTTGGCAGTAAGCTATTGCTACCAATCAATCTAAAGAAAAACTTTCAAATTCTTATTTTTAATCAATATATATGAAATGTTCCTTCACTGGGTAGTGTTCCTTCATTGATTGGTTTACCCTACCAAGTAAAAAATGGATATGCTTAATAGCAACAGAAATACAAAGGCGATAGCAGCATCAACATTTAGTTGTTGTGGCATGTTTCTTTTTTTAAACAAACGCTGAAAATTCCAACATTTTCTGAACTGTTTTAAAAACAGAACTAGATGTAGAAATAAGGTATTTAAATAGCAGTGAAAATTACGAGTAATAGTTAGAAGCGAATGTTTCTAACTGCTTTTAGATCAAAATTCTTCAAATTATATACACTTTAAAATTAGATATTTACCATTTCATTTAAATGCATAAAATAGTTTAATGGTTAAAAAACAATTAAAAAAAATTTATTATGAGTTACACACTTATAAAGAGTTACACACTTGTTATAAACGAGTTATGCGCTGCTTTGTTCAGATAACCGAATAATCAATTCACATGAAAGCATTTAAAATGAATGTGAATTCATGCTAAGGTAGATGTTTCCAACTCAAAACGATAAGCAATAGTGAGATTTTTAGTGACAGAAGGTGAGCATAATACAATGCCAAATGGTGTTTGGTTTATGTAGAAAATAGTCAAATGCTTATTCTCTAATGCATAAATTCGTATCACTACGTACATGTAATAGAAATCAAAAAGAATTCTCCTTAATTGCATGACTTAATTTTAAATGCACTCAATCAAACTGATTAATCAGTTACTCGCAGTCAGCAGTGCACTTCTCAGACGTTTTAAAAACGAATTTTCCCTAATTGCATGACTTAGTTTCAAATGCACACAAATGAACGGATTAATCAGTTACCCGTAGTCTGCGGTGCACTCCTCAAACCTTTGAAAAACGAATTCTCCTTACTTGCATGACTTAATGTTAAATGCACTCAATTGAACTGATTAACCAGTTACTCGCAATCTGTGGTGCACTCCTCAAACCTTTTTAAAAAAAACAGAATGCATTGCTACTATTACTGTACATTATGAACTATCACACAGTTTTCAAATCGACTTTTTATTTAATTTTAGCAACTCGTATATAAAGAGTAATTTAAAAGTCGTTTTCTAACAAAATGATGCGACGATAACAAAATAATAATTATATTTTAATAAATAACATCAAAAATAATTGTATTTATTCCGTTGGATTTTAATATACGCACAAATTAGGCAATACCCAGCATTTGCAATACATAAATCTTTTGCGTTAGGAGCAGAATTATATGGGTCATTCTCACAAAAAGGCGATTTTTTATGTTCCTTAGCTAAATATTCGGAAATACAGCAGATTTCTTAATATTTTTCTTCATCATTTTTCATAAAGTTCTAACTAACAAATAAGCATTTCTGCTAAATGTACTTAACATTTCATTCTTATTTTTTAATAAACATAACTTCAAAATCCCCTCCGTGGACGTCCCTACGTCTGTGACACAAAATGATTTTTAATTGCTGTTAAGCAATTTAAATGTTATTTTAATGATTTTTGTAGTTTTATCTAGTTAAATGTTTATAGTAACTTTTTATTTAATGTTTTTTTTAAAAAAATTTATTTTTATAAAATAAATGACTAGTAAACTTTGTCCATCAAAAATGAAATCTCCCTCCATGGACAATTAATATAGTTCGGTAAATATGCAATAAAGGGCAGCATATGTGAAATCTTTATAAGACAGCTGCTGGGAAAGGTAACCATTCCATTTTCTAACGTTAACTATCAGTTGTTTTTGTTCTCTTTGGTGTTAGTTTTGGATTGTTGTGTTCAACTGGGGTTTGGCAAAGTTCTCACCGTATACTCCGTGGACATCCTAAAGATGGTAAGAGAAAATTATTTTATTTTTGATAGATGAATTTTAGATTGAAAAAATAATATATTTAATAAAAAGAACTGCCCCATTTTTGTAACTTAAAAATTAAAAATCAGTAAAATTAAAGAACTAGTTTTTGTCTCCTCCGTGGACATAACAAGTCCACGGAGGAGAAGACACAGTCAATGGAAGAGACAATGTGTTAGATATCCATAATACAATTTAATAATTAAGAAACTATTTTCTTTTAATTGATATTTTTTAAAATGGATCAAATGTGTTAATTTGTTTGTATTTTTAAAGAAAATCAATTAAGTTTAACTTTTTCTTCTCAGAGAAGTAAATATTGGCAATTTTTCTAAATAATTTCTGTGATGTTTAATATTTTTTTTCTCTTCAGATTTTTGGAAAAAAATGGCAAAACCAAAATGTAAGAAAAGAAAGTAATCAAATGTTCAAATGCAAAAGAGAAGGGAACAGAAAAAACTTAGTATGAGACAAGCTAGACAGAAATTAAAAGAAAACCCTATATTGTTTGAGGAAAGTAAAAAAAAAACATTAAGAGCAAGAAACTTTAAAATCTGTGTCAGAAAAAGATTTAACAGAAAAATCGTGATTAAATGTACTTAAATTTCTAGAAATTGATAGAGTAAGCCGTTTGTGCCCAGGGAAAAAAGAAACAATAATAAGAAGAAAAGAGAAAAAACAAAAACGTTATTTGGATGACAGTATGTTTAACTTGCATAAAATGTTAATAAAAGAGTACCCTCAACCTCAACTTTCATGTGGAGTCTGAATTTTATCTCAATAGTCTTTACATTTTAATTTATTAATATTCAGTAAGAGTTATTTAAGAAATTGTACACCTAGGTTAAAAATGGATGTTTCCTTTCATAGCAGCATGATTAATCGGAAGTAGCTCTATCTCTAATAATGAAATATTTTATTATTAACTTATTAATGTTAAACTCATATCAGTTGTACCCAATAATTAATGAATTAGTCTTCATTGACTTTTTATATTTTATAACATAAAATGTCTCCTCCGTTGACTATTACATCTCCTCCGTGGACAAGGCAGAATTTAAAATATTTTAAATCTTGTAAAAAATAAAATAGAAAACTTGACCATTATTATAAGGACATATAACAAAAATGAATAAAGGCATTTATGTAATTTTTATCACTTTTTTAATAACTTTAATTTAAGAAATTTTTTTAGTCTATTTATACCTTTTCAGTGAGAATGACCCATATATCCCGCAAGGCTTCATATTCACATGTAATTTTTCAAAAAGAAAAATTTTTTGCCACAGTGGAAATATCATTAGATTCATACCATATATATCTACGTATTCTCGTTCAAAGTATGACAATTTCGATTATTAAGTCTATTTTAATTGGAAAAAATTTGAGTCATACAAAATTTTGGGTCTACTGTTACTTTTTAATAGTATGTATATGTAGCGCATATTTAAAGAAAGTTTCGAATTTGAAATACGAAACTTACATGCCCATAAAGCATAATTTTTTTATAATTCCTTCTTTCTTTTAATTCTTGCCTATGGGAGAAGCCAAACATGAAAAATTAAAATTCTGATGGTGAAAATAAACCGTGAAACCTTTTTGTAGCGTGTGAAAACTGTGATTTTAAATTAAAATTGATTTTTTGTAAACAATGGCAGTTATTAGGCTATCTAATTAAATTCTTAACATTATCTCTTCTTTACCTTTTTTATAACTTAGAGTGACAATAATAATGATATGATTCACAATAATAGTGCGATAATAAAACTCATGATCCAACTCATAATAATAAAATTAAATAACTACAGTTATTTCAATGTCAAATTCCAACTGTTTAGTTTGTCACTTAATCAAGGATTGTTATGGATTACGTTTCTTAATCAAGGTATTATTAGTAAAAAATAATAACAGGCGCTATTTTGTTTATTCAAATTATTCTTTGGGAGTGTCCAGCATCCTATAATATTTTTAACATTTGTATGAATTCAAGCAGTGTCTCGTGGGCTTCAAACAGGAATTTAACAGATTTAAAATCAAGTAAACAATTGCTGGGGATTGTTTTAACATAATGAGTCAAATCTTGTATTCCGATATAAAGTTTTCTGTTTAACAAATTATTAAAACATCATAAGACATTATTTCCGTAACTTGCAGTGACCTTGAACTGTGATTTTGAAGCAAGCTCGTGATCAAAGGAGGCAAGAATCATTCTTAATTCATTTAACATTCTTATAATACACTAAAATTTGATTTAGGAATTGTATATGATGTTCGGATAAAAAAAAACTGACTATCCTATTTTGAACGCACGTTGGACATTTAAGAAAAACATTTCAAATTAAAATTAAAATTAACTTTCATTTTTACGCTCGATTTAATATTTCATTAAATTTTCATTTTTTATTAAAACGTTGCATTTGATTTTTTAATTAAATAATCTTGTATTAGATAAAGTCAAATTTTAAGAGTAATGTTAGATGCATTTACGAAATATTGCGCTAAACGAAACTCAAGCTTTATAAAATATTTCAAATACAAGTTAATTTTATAAAAACATATTCATTCTGCCTTATTTTAAAAAATAATAATATTTATTATTTTAAATAAATAATCTTGCATTAGATAATGTCAAATTTTCAAAGTAATTATAGATTCGTTTACTAAATATTACGGTAAGCGAAACTCGAGTTTTTCAAAATATTTTAAACTCAAGCTAATTTTATAAAACGTATTTATAGCTCACTATTTAAATAAAAATAACAAAATATTTTATCACAATATTTCAGCCTTTGTTTTACTTTAAAAACATTTTCTTCTGTTAAAAAATTATTTAAAAAGCATAAATTTTAAAATTTAGTTCAATATTCTCTTAAACCTCTTAGTTGCAGACTAGACCCTCCTCTACCGACTTTCTAAAGATATTTTAAGAGTTGGTGGAAGTTGGGTTTGTCTCCCAATTTTAGTCGCCCCAAAATTGTTCAGTGGAAACTAAAATGTACAACTTTTTAAGGAAAATAATATATTCGGATATTATATATCAGTTAAAAGCTACTAAATAACTTTCAATTAAATTCAGAACTTAGATTTAATTAATTTATCTAATAAATCAATCGTTTTTATGCATTTTCCTAAAATTAAAAATTTTGTCAAGAGCTACGAATTTCTAAAAAAAAGTTTTATTCTATATTAAAGTTTTATTCTATTTTAGTCTTCGAAAACCTTACATTGATTTATTTTATCATTAGCATAAAGGCAATAAATCGGTGATATTTGTCTTATGAGTAGATAATAGTTATCCCAAAAATGGGAAACTTTTTAATCTAAATTAAACGGTTGTAAATTACTCCAATATGAATTGAATATCTCCATTAATCAATGTCCTCTATTGTTTATTTAAAATTATGTTGACAGTTAGCAAATCGAAATTCTTTTTCTAAAAAATTCTACCCAGAATGCAGACAAATATTTCTATTGAAATTTCGAAATTAAAACATATATAAAGAGTGTCCATCGATTCGAAAGCGTCACATCATCTCCACTTGCTCAGCGTTATAGCTCAAACTCTTCAAACCTTTTTAATCATGAAAGTTTTGGTAAGTGTAAATATCTCATTTATGTTATTAATATTACATTTATATTCAATTAGCGTTAATATGCCATTCCATCAGTGTTAATAGTGACGTTTATATTCCATTTATGTTTTACACTAAAAAACTTTTACTGAAATTATAAGAAAATTGCAATCATAATTTCCAGTACAAATATAGCAAAATTAACTTTTAAATTTTGCGATACATTTAAACCCAAAAAATGTCTCGATTTGCTCTATTTTTTCCAAAAATGTTTTATACTGAAAAAAAACACCAATTTAACAGCAAACAGTTTTTAAAAAATGCCATTTCTTTTAAATAGTTTTTTACAGCATTTTAAACTTTTGCTTTGAATTAAAATCAGGTCTATCACGACATTTATTGTGTAAAAATTATTTGACTGAAATAGTTCGTATTTTAAGCTAAATTTGAAAATCAGTGTTTTATATATTAAATAATGAAATTAATTTAATTTACTCTTAATTGTGGGAAGTTTCTGGGTAAGTAGTTGGAACATTAATTGACTTATATGCAGATTAAAAAATGATTGGGTGACATAAAACGTGTGTTTAATACTATTTGTACTATATAGAGATGAGAGGACTGACAGTATTCAAATTGTATTTAAAAATTTTAACTACAAAATTTCAATTTCAAACGCAAAAAATTCAACAAATACTCATATGACTTCATGTAAACTTTTGTCATGGAATGACTATTTTCTTCAAAAAAGCATTTTGTATTAACGTATCTGGGTTTTAGTATCTGTGGGGGGGGGGGCAAAAAAGATAATTTAACTGAAAAGAAATTTGAGAAGATAAAAATCAAAATCTATATTAACTTACATGCTGAAATTCTTCGATGGTAACAAAATTATTACTTCTTCTAAAGTATGAGTATTTTATAAGACTACTACTAAGTTTCTTCTTATAAAGAATAAAGAAAAGTAAGTTTTTTTATGAATTTCGGAATATTTAAATTTTAATGAACAAAACTATCATTATAAAATTCACTTAAATATTCTTAAAAAGTTTATTCTTATAAAGCATTTTGCTTCAGAATAATAGTTTTCTTTTGCAAAATTTAATTTCATAATAAAAGTAAAATAATAATAGATTTAAAGTTTTAAAACACTAAATAGGCAACGAATGTCTCGTTCGGCTGAATGTTTGAGGCAATTAAATTCCTTTTCCTTTTTTTTTCTCAAGTAATTTTATGAAATTTATTTTTTTAAACAAAATTGTAGCTAATTAACAGAAATTTGAATATATTCTTTATAGGTTTTCCTTTCCTCTGTGCTGGCCGTCGCCATCGCTCAACGATATGGCTCAGCAATACGACCAGTACGTCCGTTACTTCCATCTCTTCCAATTGGCCAATTTCCCGTACTTCCTGGACCGGCATCTTCTACATTTGCTGCATCTCTTGGTAATGCTCCCGTAGGACTTGTTGACAGAGGTGTTGGACAAGGATATGGTCCAGGATATGGAGCTGGATTTCCAGGATTTGGATTTCCTTCTGGATTTCCCTTTGGATCCCCTTATTTAGGATTCCCTTATGGAGGACTACCTTTTAGTGGCTTTCCCTATGGTGGACTTGGAGAAAATGTCTTCAGCACTTCCTTGGGAGATGCTAAAGTTGGAACAGTCAGCAGATCAGCAGCATAAGCAATAGAAATTTATATAAAACGTAAGTTAACTTGCTTTTTAATAAAAATAAAAATGAAGCACTTTAAAATTTTCAATTAATGGCACTATTTAAGTATATTGTCTTTTGAACCTTTATAGAACCACCTTTTTCTATTATATTTCGAGTTAAAATATATTTTTTATTGAGATTGATTTCCTTAATGTAATTTAGAAATTATTAAGCTTATTTCTACTTAGCTTATTACCAGAAATGTATTTAAGACTTAAGAATTTAATATTAAAATGTATTTTAAATTTTAAAATTAACTTTGATGAATTTTTTTTCTTGTGTGTTTTTTTTAGAATTTATTTAAAAACCAGTTCAATGTTTTATTATTATTTACTTATTTATTATTTATTTATTATTTATTTATTATTTATTTATTTATTATTTCTTCTGCTAGTCCTAACGCAATCCACCAATTTTGAAATATTTCCGCAGTTTTCAAATTATTGTTATTAATGTTTATTTTTGCCAAACATGTTATTTTAACTTTTTTTAATATTAGTATTCTTAAAACAAAATAAATGTAAATACTTGAAAATATTTTTCATTATTATTTTTTCACTTTCATAATTTTCTTTAAAAATGCACTTTACCAAGAATTTTGTAATGAAACTTATTTATTCGTTGTTGATTTCTAGTTTCACAAATTAAGAAGAAAAAAAAATTTCAACTTAGTAAGACTTTTTTTAAATAAATTGAACCTCATGTATAAAATATAACAAAATCTTCAAATTAAGGGAATTTTTTTATAATGTCCGAACTTAATATACATTCGTTACATCATACTCGCTGTTCATTGTTAATTTTAAAACCCTTATCAAAGTGCAAAACTTTTTTCAAACAATATTCAAAGCTTAAACTAAATTACTTCGAAGCAATAAATTTTTAGAAGATTTTAATTACATAGCATTATAGTTAACCTTAAAACCATAAATTGAAGATGCAGCAAATCTTTTACACATTAGGGTTCAAAATGATTCTATAAAATATCGAAACTATAAAATCTATAAAAGTAAAAGCAAAAACTTTACTGGAATAAAAAAAATTTTAATAATTTTAATTTCAATTAATTTTTTTCGCTAACACTTTCGCCTCGCTTTGGATGAAATCAGAAAAGTAAAATGATATTAAACATCTTCTATTGATGATAATTAACTAATCTTCGTGTATTTATTTTCTTTTCAATTAAATGCACGCCATGTGTGTTTGAATGGAAGCCTTAACGAAATTTCTGACATTTTTGATTCGAGGGTGTCTGATATATACTTTGTCAAGTAAATAACAAAACATTGTACATACAACTGACTCCTCTAGTGTGTTTAATTGTTTTGTAATTGTTTTATCATTTAGCTGAAACTCATTTTTGTTTTGTTACAGGTCACGTGGTCTTAACGTCGTTCATTAATACAGTATGAAGAAACTGAGTATGAATGTGACGAATGAATTCTATTATTGTCATTCAAAATTTTTATTCAAATAAAAAAGTTGCAATTGAATTTTCTTTTCAATTTTCAGAAAAAACTATACAGAATTATTCAATTATTATCATACACTGTTAATTAATTTTAAGGAGGATTTACCATTCAATCATATCTATACACTATCCAAAATCCGTAAACAATCATGTTAATTTTAAGATTCGCCAAGAAAAAAACACTGGTATATATCATTATGCTATTATAATTCAGCTTTCAATAATTATAGTTTAGTGTATAACAGTCCATGATAACACTAACTAATGTATACTCTTAAATTTTTTTTTGCTTACACTACCAAATTTAACTATTTTTTACCACTGATTTTGAGTATTTATGAATGAAAAATAATATTAGCACGAAGCTTACATTTTTTTTTATACTCATACCTAATTTTTAAAAATTAGTAGAAAATACCAACCTAATGTTTGACATAGATATTGATTGTCTAACTATTTTTAAAATCATAAACTTTCAAAATTAGTTTATGATTTTAAAAATAGTTTCTATTAATAAAAATAACACTTTTAGGGTTCAAATACTCATTCTTTCTTATTGGACTTGACGTCGAAGCGAATATAAAGAATTTTTACACGTACCCCGCTATAAATCATTTAATCATTAATTAATAATCATTTATTATTTATTGATAATTAACATTCAATTTATTTCTTAATAATCATCTAATTATTAATTTATAAATTTTATTAAATGATTAAACACTTTTGGATAAAATGGTCAAGAGATTGATAAATCTGTAAAAATTAACGATTGTTCAAACACTTCTAAGAGGCAACTCTAAAATATAGAATTTTAGAATAAAAAGCAATTGGATCACTTTATAAAAGAGGAAAAGATGGGGAAGCAATAAAGACAAAATGCAAAAAATAAATAAATAGAAACAAAAAAAACTACAAAATAATTTCTTATTTATTATTATTTATTTTCATATCTTTTCAGAATACGTTATGTATTAAATTACTTGAAACAGGTTTTGTGTTATTTATTCCATCTGACGCATGGTGTGTATTATTTCAATAAAAAGGATATACCAAGTAAAAAAATGGACATGCTTAATAGCAACAGAAATACAACTGTGATAGCAACATCAACTTTTAGTTGTTGTAGCAAATTTCTTTGAAAAAAGGCTAAAAATTCCAACATTTTAAGAACTTTTTAAATAACACAAAATAGATGTAGAAGTGAAATATTTAAATAGAAGTAAAAATAGCAAGTAATAGTTAGAAACTTATGTTTCTAACTGCATTTAGTTCAAAGATCTTTAACTTATAACCACATTAAAATTAGATTTTTTTTCATTAATTTAAATGCATAAAACAGTGCAATACTTAAAAAAACAGTTAAATAGAGTTTATGCACACAATTGTTATAAACGAATTAGGTATAACAGAATAATCAATTCACATGAAAGTATTTAAAATGAAAGTGAATTCATGCTAAGGTAGATGCTTCCAAAGCAAAACGATGGGCAATAGTGAGATTTTTAGTGACAGAAGGTGAGCATAATACGAAGCCAAATGGTTATTTGTTCATGTAGAACATCGTTTAATGCAAACGGTTAAGAATAAAAGGTGTAAAGTTTAGGTAAAGCTCGTACTTCAAAATCGGTTATTCCGAAACCCAAAGCAAAGCAAACATCATAATATCCAATGAATTCTTTATTGTTGTTGGTGAATTTAATAAGTGGTAATTAAAGAGTTAATACTCAAGGCACATATACAGCACTTTTTCTGAATAAAAAATACCATGCAATCACCTTCCCAACAAAAATGCGTTTCACTGTGTGCGTGTTACACAGTTCAAAACGAATTCTCCTTACTTACATGACTTAATTTTAAATGAACTAAATTGTACTGATTAATCAGTTACTCACAGTTCACGGTGCACTACTCAAACCTTTAAAAAAACATAATGCATTGCTACTATTACTTTCGAAGTTGGGCATAGTACAATGCCGAATGGTTGTTTGTTTTTGTAGAACATTGTCTAATGCAAACGGCTAAGAATAAGCGGTGTAAAGTTTTCGTAAAGGTCGATTTTCAATATCGGTTTTACCAAAACTTAAGGCAATCAGAAATCATAATCTCCAATTAATTCCTTGCTGTTGTTTGTGAAATAGATAAGTGTTAATTAAAGAGTTAATACTCATGACACATATACAGCACTTTTTCTGAATAAAATATACGATGTAATCACCTTCCCGGCGGAAATTCGTATCACTGCGTGCGTGTTATACAGTTCAAAACGAATTCTCCTAACTTATATGACTTATTAGCATGACTTAATTTTAAATGCACTCAATTTAATTGATTAATCAGTTACTCGCAGTCTGTGGTGCACTTCTCAAACCTTTTGAAAAAGCAAAACCAGAATGAATTTAAATAACAGAAGGCATTAAAATAACTGAATGTATTACTACTATTACTGTACTTCATAAGCTATCACACAGTTTTCTAATAAACTTTTCATTAAATTTTTGCAACTCATATACAAAGAGTAATTTAAAAGTCGCTTTCTAACAAAATGATGAGGCGATTTAAGAAAAATAATATTTTTCATTGCGGTGGATTTCAATATACGCACAAATTAGGCAATATCCTGCATTTACAATACATAAGAACGAGATACAATTTACAATGCAATTAGAGATCACACAAGATTGCCTATTGCAGTCTTTAACATGGAATTTCTCAAAAAGAGCAACCTTCCTGATACAGTGAAAATATCATTACATTAATATCATATATATCTACATATTTTCTTACAAGGTATCACAATTTGGTATATTAAGTCTGTGAAGTGTGGTGCATAGGGGGGAATTAAAACAACGGCTAGCTAACTTTTAATTTATTTTAAAGAACATGACTATAGTTAGCACTCAGCACATTCACAACATATAAAACATATATGAAGAAGAAAAAAATAAGGAGCTCTGCATGGCAGGCTTTCTACCGTTTCGTTCACACTCTCTGACTCTGAGTTTTTTTCTAATTTCTCGCTAGGCAGCGTTGCTAGTTTCAGTTTCTCCACAAGTCTATTTTAATTTGAAAAAATTTGAGCCTTGCAAATGGTTGGGTCTACTGTTACTTTTTAAAAGTATGTATATTTAAAGAACGTTTTTAATTTGAAATAAGGAACTTACATGCCCATGAAACATAATTTTTTTATAATTCTTTCTTTTCTTCAATTCTTGCCTATATGAGAAGCACAAATTAGGCAATACCCTGCATTTACAATACAGAAATCTATTGCGTATGGCGCAGAATTACATATCCCGCAAGGTTTCATATTCACATGGAATTTTTCAAAAAGAACAATTTTTTGACTCGGTGGAAATATCATTCTATTGATATCATATACATCTATGTATTCTCTCTCAAGTTAACACAGTTTCGATCATTAATTTTAACTGGAAAAAATTTGAGTCATACAAAATTTTAGGTTTACTGTTACTTTTTAAAGTATGCATATTTAGCGCATATTTAAGGAAAGTTTCTAATTAAAAATATGAAACTTACATGTCCATAAAAAATAATTTTCTCATAATTGTTTCTTCCCTTCAATTCTTGCCTATGGGAGAAGCCACACATGTAAAATGAAAAATTCGATGGCAGAAAGTAACTGCGAAAACGTTTTATAAAGTGTGAAAACTGTGATTTTAAATTTAAATAGATTTTTTGTAAAAATCAGCAGTTATTTGGCTACCTAATTGAGATTTTTACATTGTCTTTTCTCTACCTAATTAATAACTTATAAGGACAATACTAATGATATAACTCACAACTCATAATTATAAAATTGAACAACTGCTGTTATTTCAATGTTAAATAAGTTAATAAGTTATAAATAAGTTTAGTTTGTCACTTAATAAAGGGTTGTTATGTATTATGTCTCTTAATCAAGGTATGATTTGTAAAAAAATAATATCAGACACTATTTTATTCATTCAAATTAGTCTTAAGGAGTGTCCATCATCCTATAAGATTTTTAACAATTGTAAGAACTCAAACAGTGTCTCGCGGACTTCGAACAGAGATTTAACGTATTTAAAATCGAGTAAACAATTGTTGGGGATTGTTTTAACATCATGAGTCAAATCTTGTATTCCGATATAGTTAAGTTTTCTGTTTAACCAATTAATAAAACATAATAAGACATTATTTCCATAATTTGAACTGGCCTTGAACTGTGATTTCGGAGCAAGCTCGTGATCAAAGAAGACAGGAATCATTTCTAATTCATTTAACATTCATAAAATACACTAAAATTTCATTTAGAAATTGCATATTTTTTTGAGTAAAAAAAAATCTAATTATTCTATTTTGTACTCATGTTTGACTTTAATTTTAAACTGAATGAAATTAACCTTAATTTTTTACGCTCCATTTTAACTTTCATTAAACTTTCCCTTTTTTATTAAAAATTTGCCTTTGCTTTTTTTTAAATAATCTTGCCTTAGATAACGTCAAATTTCAAGAGTAATGATACATGCATTTACGAAATATTCCACTACGCGAAACTCGTCTAATAAAATATTTTAAATACAAGTTAATTTTATTAAATAGTATTTATGCTGTATAATTTAAAAAATAATAAAATATTTTATCGCAATTTTTAAGCCTTTGTGATACCATACGAAATTATGTTTTGTTTTAAAAATTATGTAGAGAACATGAATTTTAAAATTTTATTCGATGTTCTCTTAAACCCTTTAGTTGCAGACTAGACTCTCCTCTACCGATTTTCTAAAGAAATTTTAAGTGTTGGTGGAAGGAGGATTATAAGCTCTCAATTTTAGTCGCCATAAAATTGTTGATTAGAAACTGAAATGTACAACTTTTTAAAGAGTAGAATATATTTCGATATTATATATCAGTTGAAAGCTGTACTAAATAAATTTTACACTGAATTCAGATCTTAGATTTAATTAATTTATCTAATAAATCAATTAATTTTATGCATTTTCTTATAATTAAAAATTTTGTCAAGAGCTACGAATTTAAAAATAAAGTTTTATTCTATATTAACATACTTCGAAAACCTTACATTGTAATATTTTATCATTAGCATAAAGACAATAAATCAGTAATATTTGTTTTATAAGTAACCAATAGTTATCCCAAAAATGGGGAAATCCTTAATTTAAATTAAACAAATGTAAATTAATCCTATGTGAAGTGAATATCTCCATAAATCATTGTCCTCTATTGTCAATTTAATATTATGTTGACTATTAACAAATCGAAATTCCTTTTTTACAAAAGTCTACCCAGGTTGCAGACAAATATTTTTTTATTGAAATTTCGAAACTGAAGCATTTATAAACAGTGTCCATCGATTCGAAAGCGTCACATCATCTCCATTTGCTCAGTGTTACAGCTCAATCTCTTCTAACCTTTTTAATCATGAAAGTTTTGGTAAGTGTAAATATCTCATTTATGTTATTAATATTACATGAATATTCAGTTAGCGTTAATAAGCTATTCCATCAATGTAAATAGTGGTTTTAATATTCCCTTTATGTTTCATAACAAAAAACGTTTACTAAAATTATGAGAAAATTGCAATCATATTTTCCAGTATGGCAAAATGATCTTTTAAATTTTCAGTAATATTTAGCACACAATTTTCTTGATTTTTCTCTATTTTTTTCCAAAAATGTTTTATACTAAAAAAAAGAAATACCAATTTAACAGCAAACAGTTTTTAAAAAATGCCAATTATTTAAAACAGTTTTTTACAGCCTTTTAAAGTTTTACTTTGAAATAAAATCAGGTGCATCACAACATTTATTGTGTAACAATTCGTATTTTAATCTAAATTGGAAAACTAGTGTTTTATACATTAAAAAAACAGTTAAATGGATTTAATTTAAGATGAATTATTGGAAGTAATTTCTAAGTTAATAACTGGAAAATTAATTGACTTTTTCATAACTAAGGAAAATGTTTAAGTGACATAAAACATATATTTAATATTACTTGTGCTATATAGATCTGAGAGGACTGACAGTGTTTAAATTGTATTTAGAAAATTTGATTACATTGAAAAATTGTAGCTATTTATTTATCTTAAACAACATCATGCTTGAATATCTAAATACCGCTATTATGTGTTTGACTATCATGCTTGAATATCTAAATACCGCTATTATGTGTTGTGTTAGGCAACTTAAGATATTAATTAGTACTAGAAATCATTTAATGAGTATTAAATGATTTCTAGTACTAATTAATATCTTAAGTTGCATATATTTATAGTTAATTTTTTTAAAAAAATTGTCAAATACTCTTATTCAAAAGACTTTAAAAAGACTCAAAAACTGTATTATGTGCACCAGTAACATTTAGGAAAATTTTAGCTCTGTTCGATTCCTTATTGCCAGGAATTTTAATTTTGTTTGCTTGCAAGTATGTATTTTTCTGGAGATAGGGCAACCTTGATTTAAAATATATCCGATTTTTTCGTGTTTTCTGAAATCTATAACTTCATTCGATTTTTTTAAAATCCTAACATATTTGATAGTCTGAAGTTCAGTGGCGTTAGAGGTTTGTAAATGTCCCATGTTTACTCTTCGATAAAACGCCCCTGGAAAAATATGTAGCCACTGGGGAAGGGGGTCGTCAAAAAAGATAATTTAGATAAAAATAAATTTAGGAAGATAGATATTCATAGACATCTAAATCCATACTTTTAACTCATATGCTGAAATTCTTCTTTTGTAAAAAATTTACTCTTTATCAGGCATAAACTAAAATTTTTATGAATTTGAGGAATATTTAAATTTTAATGACCCAAAAACATCATTATAAAATTTGTTTTAATATTCTTATAAAGTATATTCTTATAAAGTTAATTCTTACAGAGCATTTTGCTTCAGAATAATATTTATCTTTTGCAAAATTTAATTTCATAATAAAAGCAACATAGTGATGGATTTAAAGTTTTAAAATACTAAATAGTCAGCAATTATATCAATCGGCTGGATGCCAGACGTTTAGCTAGGCAATTACAAACCACTACTCTTTGCACGTAAATGCAAGAAATTTTTCATTTATCTTAATTCCTTTTCTTTCCCACTAATTTCTTGAAATTTATTTTTTAAACAAAATTGTAGTTAATTGCTAGAGATTAAAATATATTCTTTACAGGTCTTCCTTTTCTCTGTGCTGGCTGTCGCCATTGCTCAACGATATGGTTCAGCAATACGACCAGTACGCCAGCTACTTCCATCTCTACCAATTGGTCAATTTCCCGTACTTCCTGGCCCGGCATCTTCTACATTTGCTGCATCTCTTGGTAATGCTCCCGTAGGAATTGTTGACAGAAGTGTTGGACAAGGATATGGTCCAGGGCTTCCAGGATTTGGATTTCCTTTTGGATTCCCCTTCGGATTCCCTTATTTAGGATTCCCTTATAGAGGACTACCTTTTGGTGGCTTCCCCTATGGTGGACTTGGAGAAAATGTCTTCAGCACTTCCTTAGGAGGTGCTAAAGTTGGAACAGTCAGCAGAGCAACAGTATGAGCAAACAAAAATGAATCTAAAACGTAAGTTAACTCACTTGTTAAATTGAGATTAAAATGAAACGCTATGAAATTTTCAATTAATGGCACTATTTAAGTATATGTCTTTTATATCTTCATAGAACCACCTTTTTGTATTAATTTTGAGTTAAAATATTTTTCTGATTGAGATTGATTTCTATCGTGCAATTCATTTAGCTTATTACCAAAAATTTATTTACGATTTAAGAACAGTTATTGGTAGAAAGGCGAGATTACTAATTTTGCACATTGTAGAAAAGTGCCTGTTAAGAAGTGGCTGTTCTGTACTTATAATTAAATTTATAAATACTGCGCTTATAAAGACAAATAAGCGATGAAATAAAAGAAAGTATAACGCACAGAAAAAAATAGCTCCCAAGTGTATGACTCTTTTCTTCACTCCGCGCTAACCTTTTTACACATTGTGTAAAAAAAGCCCTCTTCATTGATACTTTTTTTCCATTTTCGGACATTTTCAACAGATGACTTTGCAGACAAATAGACGGGTAAATAGCTTTCCATTGACTAATAAAAATTAATCAAGTTGATGGTAAGCATTCTTACCACGACCAACAAAAAATGACATAATATGAGAAACAATGAAATAATATTTTCTTTCAGAAAGATCTTAAAATTTGTAATCCTCAATTTATAACGCTGATATGTTCTCTTAAATATTTCATTTAGAAATAATACTTCAAAGTAACAGTAAATATTTTTTTAAAAGAAATCTAAACATTCATTGTTGAAAAATAAGGGCATTTTAAAACAACTTTTCGATTATAAATTATGCTTTATAGGAATAAAAATGAAATGTCAAACTATTAAAACTAGAATAATATATTGTGAAAATTGTGAAATATTTTAGAAATTGCTTTCAATTTAAAATTTCTTGTTTGATTAATGACCCACAAACTACCTTAATATACTTTATTCAAAAACAATAATTTTATATGAAGGGGGAAAAATCTCTTTTATTATTGTTTTAAAAGAAATCACACATTTAAAGATTAGTTTTTTGAACTAACTGTCTTAATTTAAATTTTAAGCTTTTGTTGCTTTAAAAACTTAAATTATTTAATTCTCTTTTTTAGGTAATGAAAGAGATAATATTTTGGTAATAAGCAACATAATTTTTGTTAATAAACATAAATTTTAGGTAATAAGTAGCAGGCATTTGTTCTCTTGGAAAGAGAACAATATTTTCAATTTTATTTTAATTCAATTGCTAGTGGAAAAATCAAACAAATTTTTTCTATGCCCTATAAATTAGGAAAGAGAACATATTTAATTATAAGAAAAAAATTAAAATTAACTGCAATGAAATTTTTTCTGTGTCGAGCGTTCGTTTAAAAACCAGTTCAAATTCTATGTAAATTTCAATTTATTACGTGATATTTCAAATGTATCTTCCTGGAAAAGAAGAATAATCGTCTATCTTATCTATTGTCTTATCTAGTGTAATAGTTTAGGTAGTAAAAATGAAATTACTAAGAGGCAATAAATTTTAAGATGATTTTAATTGCATCGTGTCATCGTTCACTTTAAAGGTGTAATTTAAGGATGCAGCAAATTTTTGAAACATTAGGGATCAAAACGATTAAAAAAATTGTTCTCGCAAACAGTTTTGCCGCCCTTTAGATGAAATCGGAGAAGTAAAATATTATTAAACATCTTCAATTTGATGATAATTACCTAAATTTTGGTGCATTTCTTTTCTTTTCAATACAATGCAAACAGCATGTGATCGAATAGATGCCATTTAACAGAATTTCTGACTATTTTGACTCGATGGTATATAATATATACTTTGTTAAGTAAATATTCTAAAATTGACTCCTCTAGTGTGTTTTATTGCTTTAAAATTCTTTCATCAATTACCTTACACTCATTTTTGTTTTGTTTTAGGTGACGTGGTCCTAATGTCGTTTGAAGAAACTGAGTATGAATGTGATGAATGAATTCAATTATTGTCCTTCATAATTTTTATTTAAATAAAAAAGTTGAAATCTAATTTTCGTTTATTTCTTCAGAAAAATTGTGCTGAATTATTCAATTATTATCATACTCTGTTTATTAATTTTCAGGATGATTTACCATAGAATCATTTCTATACATTATCCACAATCCATTAACAATAGTGTTAATTTTAAGATTAGATTAAAAAAAACACTAGCATTCACTACTATGCAATTATAATGATTGTGATTACGGTTTATAAACCATAATTATAATAATTATAATTATGGTTCAGTGCAGAACAGCAATTGTAAGCATCAAGCTCACAATTTTTTCTATACTTATACTTAATTTTTGAAAATTAGTATAAAATTCCAACCTTATGTTTGCCATAAAGCTTGATTATTAATAAGATTTAAGAAAGATTAGAACTTTAGAAATAGTTTTCATTACTATAAATAACAATTTTATGATAAAAAGACGCATTTCATTCTTCTTGGATTTGACGTCAAAGAGAATATAAGGAATTTTGACACGTACACTGCTATAAATCACTTATTAATTAATAATCATGTATTGTTGACTAATAGTGAATAATCATATATTAATTAATAATCATTTATTAATTAATTTATTATTTTAATACAGGGATAAAAAGCTTTTGGATGAAATAGGAAAGAAATTGATAACATAGTAAAATTTAACGCTTGTTCTAACACTTCTATAAAGTAACCCTAAAGAAAAGATTTTTAAAATTAAGATCATTTGTATCACCTTATAAAAGCAGAAAAGACGGGGAAGCAAATAAGAAATAATGCTAATAGCGAATAAATAAAAATTTTAAAAAAATTATTAAATTGCTCATTTATTATTGTATATCTTTTCCGTATACGTAATTTTTTGAATTTCTCGAAACAGGTTTTGTGTTATTCATTCCAACTGAAGTATAGTGTATATTATTTCTATAAAAAGGATATACCAAGTTAAAAATGGATATGCTTAATAGCAAAGAAATACAGCGGCGATAGCAGCGTCAACGTTCAGTTGTTGTGGCGAATTTTTTTGAGAAAAAGCTAAAAATTCCAACATTTTATGATCTTTTCTTATTAAAAAAAATATTAGATGTAGAAGTAAAATATTTAAAGACAAGTTAGAAACTTATGTTTCTGACTGCATTTAGTTCAAAATTTTTTAAATTATGGCCACGTTAAAGTTTGATTTTTTCCATTTGATTTAAATGTATAAAATAGTTCAATGTTTAAAAAACAGTTAAAAGAGTTTATGCATACACTTGGTATAAACAAGTTATGCATCTACACATAACCGGTAGATTCTTCCAGAGAGATTTTTAGTGACAGAAGGTTAGCATAATACGAAGCCAAATGGTTATTTGTTCATGTAGAACATCGTCTAATGCAAACGGTTAAAAATAAAAGGTGTAAAGTTTACGTAAAGCTCGCACCTCAAAATCGGTTATTTCGAAACCCAAAGCTAGCAAACAAAATAATATCCAACGAATTCTTTATTGTTGTTGGTGAATTTAATAAGTGGTAATTAAAGAGTTAATACTCAAGGCATCTGTAGAGCACTTTTTCTGAATAAAAAATACCATGCAATCACATTCCCGACGAAAATACGTATCACTGCGTGTGTGTTATACAGTTCAAAACTAATTCTAATTATTTGCATGACTTAACCCCTTAACGATCGGTTAGTTTTCAAGAAAACGGTCATAAAAGTGCCAATTTTTTTTCTGACATCCAAACATCTTGTGCTGACATCTAGTTTAAAATAAACTAACTATCTACAATTACCTTTAAAATATCCTGGTACTGCCATCTGTTGTGTAAAATGAGAAATAAAATGTTTTCCGGGCAAAAGAGATGAATTAGTTTTATTCTTATTGGCCCGTTACTACTGAACACTCCAGCCCGGAAATATGACGGGAGCGAGAAATAGAGGGCGAAACCTCACCCCGTCATTTTCACGGGAGCGAGAAGGAAGGGGTTAATTTTAAATGCACTCAATTGAACTGATTAATCAGTTACTCACAGTCTCCGGTGAACTCCTCAAACCTTTTTTTTAAAAAAACAGAATACATTGAATACTACTATTACTGTACTTTATAAGTTATCACCCAGTTTTCTAATCTACTTTTCATTTAATTTTAGCAACTCATGTATAAAGAGTAATTTAAAAGTCGCTTTCAAATAAAATAACGAGACGATTTACGAAAAATAATGGATTTTTATATACGCCTAAATTAGACAATACCATGCGTTTACAATTCATAAAAATTACAGGTTTGCGACAAGTGCAGAATTATGTATCACGCTAGGTTGTATATTGACATGGAATTTTTCAAAAAGAACAATTTTTAGCCACAGTGGTAATATTACATCGATATCATATACGTATATTACATGTCTATTACATCGCAATTTCGAGTATTAAGTCTATTTTAATTGGAAAAAACTTGAGTCATACAAAATGTTGGGTCTATTGATACTTTTTAAAAGTATGTATATGTAACGCTAATGTATGTATATGTATGTATGTATCTGTAACGTATGTATATGTAACGCTAATAAATGTTAAAAGAAAGTAGCATATTAAAGAAAGCCTTAAAACACAATTTTTTATTAATTGCTCCTTTTTTTCAATTCTTGTAGGAGACTCAAACAGGTAAAATAAAAAATCCGATGGCAAAAATGAACTGTAAAAATATTTTATAAAATGTGAAAACTGTGATTTTAAATTTACATATATTTTTTTAAACATCGGCTGTTATTTTGCTGTCAAATTAAAATTCTTACTTATCTCTTCTCTACCTTTTTATAATTTATAATGATAATAATAATAATATGATTCACAATAAAAATGTAATAATAAAACTCATAATCCAATTCATAATGATATAATCAAGCATCGATTCTTATTTCAATGTCAAATTCCAACTGTTTTGTTTGTCACTTAATCAAGGATTGTTATGGATTATGTCTCTTAATCAAGGGATGCTTCGTAAAAAATAATTTCAAACACTTTTTTTTTATTTATTTAATTAGTCTTTAGGAGTGTCTAGCATCCTATAAGATGTTTAACTTTTGTATGAATTTAAATAGTGTCGCACTGGCTTCATATAGGGATTTAAGATATTTAAAATCGCGTAAACAATTGTTGGGGATTGTCTAACATCATGAGTCAAATCTTGTAATCCGATATAGTTAAGTTATCTATACCTTGCAGTGGTCTTGAACTACGAGTTCGAAGCAAGCTATTGATCAAAGGAGATAATAATCATTCTAATTCATTTAACATTCACAAAATACACTAAAATTTGATTTAGGAATTGTAAATGTTGTAAAAGTAAGAAAAAATCAGAGTATCCCATTTTGGACTCGTTTTTGACTTTTAAGAAAGCATTTTAATTTAAAACTTAATAAAATTAACATTGATTTTATTAAGATTGATTACCTCTATCATGACTTGCATTAAACTTTCATTTTTTAATGAAAAATTTGCATTTGCTTTCTTGAAATAAATAATCTTGCATTAGATAATGTCAAATTTTATGAGTAATGTTAAATGCATTTACGAAATATTGCGCTAATCGAAACTCAAGTTTTATTAGATATTTTAAATACGAACTAATTTTATTAAAACGTCTTTATAGTGCTTTATTTCAAAAAATAATAAAATTGAGATTTTTAAATAAATAATCTTACATTAGATAGTGTCAAATTTTAAGAGTGATGTTAGAGGCATTTACAAAATATTGCGCTAAGCGAAACTCAAATTATTTAATTAAAGATATTTAAATTTCAAATGAAAATTATTCAATTAAAGTTCCCGTTTTTTTACTTTATTACACAGATATAGTCTCTTAGAATAAGCTTATGAATCTTAGGGGAAAAAATTAAACCTTATCATTTTCCTCTTTACTTCATTCATAAACATGTTTTTTTTAATTTTTATTCAATATTCTTTTAATTAAGAAAAACTGATGGGTCTGCTTTTCGTCAAAGATCACAGTAGTGCAAAAAGTTCATTCCTAATAATGTTTTATAACTTAGTATTATTTTAGTTACATAGGTTAAATGAATAATTTTGCATAAAGCTTGCAATGAAAATTTAATATAATACACGGTAAATGCATATTTAAGCATTTACCGTTTAATAATTTTAAAAAAAAATTATAAGTTTAAATACTGATTAAATATAATGCATAATATAGTAATTAATTGCTCTATTACGCAATATATCATCACATACGAATCATTAGATTATTTCACAATGAAGAAACACGGCGTTCAGTTTTAAGACTTTATTTTAGAATAGTAACCATGTTCCAAAACTTATTAAGAAAGAATGATAAATAAATGTTACAAGTAAATACCTTTTATTTAGACGTAAAAAAATATTTCCAGGTAATTATTTTTGTTTATTACATTCTGGCGAAAAATACTATACTTGTATGGTAAGGATGTTACTGGTAAAAGTAACCATAATTCTGGTAATTAAACCAAAATATACGGCGTTAAAACCATTTGTTTGGTAATTTTACCATTCATTATTATTACGGTTTACCGGAAATTATGGTTCTCAAAATTTCAGTTCTTATTACCACACATTTAGCAACAAATACAAAACTGAAAAGTAAATTTATACCAAATAAATGGTTTTTAAGCTATTGCTTAAAGTATCATGATGAAGTTATCAAATTTTAAAAAAAAATTTAAAAATCTTATGACATATCATAAAGCCATATTTTATAGTTGTTCTTACCAACATTATTGTTAATTACCAAAAAATTCTTATAAGTAAGGTAAATAGATTTAATACGATAAAATTTAAAATACTAGTGCCTTTTTTCTATTTTTAAATGTTTTCATCAGACAATAAAAGAGAATTTACATGAATTAAAAAAGTTGCTGAAGCGACTAGAATTGCTTCAACTTGCTATCTGATATAAATACGAAATTCCAGAAAGAGATTTCTCATGCAGACAGCTATTTGCTGAAACAGCGCAGCAAACAATGGTAACACGTGCCGTAATGCATAAATGCCATTGTTGTTGAACCTTTATAAATATGTTTTAGGAAAAGACATTTATAACATTTTTAACATGAGTATTTTAGGCTCAATAGTCCTGTTCATCATAAAAGCAATCGTCGCTTTACTTTAGAAAAATGAAGCTTTTCGTAAGTATTGGGTGTCAATCTGGTTTTGAATTTATTTATTTAAATGTATAAATTAAATTTCCAGCAAAATATTTGAAATCAGGATATTGAAATCATGCTACTTTCATATTAAAGTACTGGTTATGCTGTGCAAGTGACTTGAAACCAGATAGCATTGAAAGGTTGATTATAATGTTGCAATAACCTTTAATCACAAAACCTGAACAAGGTTAAAAATGATCGGTAAATAAACCGCGCAAACTTGAAACAATGTTAAATTTCATTATGCTAGTATACGCGCAATGAAGTTCGCGTTAAGTTTACATAAACAGCCTTTTTATATCGAGATTGAATATACACGGAGAAAAAAAATTTTGTTAGAATTACCATACTGTATGGTAAAAAAAAATTGAAAACGCAACTCTCGTAATAAAACAAAAGTATACGGTATTATAACCATTTATTTGGTAGTTTTTTCGGTCATACATGGTAATGGTATAAGAGTAACTATTGGTTTTCAAAGTTGACGTTCTTATTACCACTCATTTAATGAAAAATACCCAACTGAAAAATAAATTTAACCGAATAGATGGTAATTATTCCATGATCTAAGGCTTCAGGACAAAATCACAAAATAACGCGTATTATTTAACGTTATTTCACTATTAGTTTTACCGAAATCATTAGCAAAGAACCTAAAATTACCCAGCTTTTCGGCGTCCCAATAGAGCTCAAAATACGGTAAATTTTACTTTATTTTGGTTACAAGGTTTTTCTCTTAAAAATGATACACATCATCAGGAAAAAAATATTGCGTAAGTGAACCTTAACTTACAAGAAAAATTTACTAACAAGATTTGCAATAAAAGTCATTGTAATGTTGCAAAATTAGTTGCTGATGTTAAATTATTAATTTTTTTGTAAAGGTTTATGCATGTATTTATTCAAAAACTATTTTGGCATTATATCATTTCTGCTTTGTAGGAATAATAATTAACCAGGCAAACTTATTGTGTCAGTCAAACGAAACCGCAAATGCATTATTACGAATTTTAAATAACTGACTTTTTTAAAATTCGATTTCTCAGGAACTATTCGATCTATTTCGGTCAAATTTTGTATTTTTCTATATAAAATCACATTATTTAAAATGATATAAAAATTTGTGCACCTCGCAGCTGAAATTATTTTGACAATTATTAAATAAAATTATAAAAAAAATAATAAATAAACATTAAAAATTATTTTTTGCATGGAATTATCATTGGAGAAGCGATTATTTTTAAATTCACTTAAAAAGTTTTAGAGATATGGTTAAATACGCAAAAAGTCAAATTAATATTAAGGGGTTCAAATTTTAGATCCCTCTCCTGACTAAATTATTGCAGCCATATTTCCTAGATTGTTGCAACCCCCTATATTTTGGGGGTCAGAAATCCGAATCCGTCAAAAAAAATATATGTTTATTCAGAGAAAGCACGTTTTCGTGTCTGATTTCGTAACATCTGTCATAATTATTTAGCATATTTGAGGTCAACCTTTCGAACCATTAACATTAAGTCCTAGTACGCAAAAATCATATCATTAGATCAAAAGTTATTCTGGGTGATTCATTTTTTTTTCTTTTTGCAATCAGTAAATTGAAAGTTTTGTATCTTAAGGATGATATATTGAAATTTAGAAACGCATCAAAAATATTCTATAGTTTCCGCGTGAAATTATATTTTATCTAAAACCATTCTAAGATATATACCGTTTAGAATAGTCAGAATCATAAATGCTAGAAATTCGGAAATAAAAACAATGTTTAATTTTTTTTTAAATTTTAAGTAACTTTTCGAATTTTTTCAGAATCGATTAAAACCCTGGAAACTGGTATTTTAAAATTATTAGAAGAATTATAAATACTGCAATTCTGTAACTTGGAGTAACGTAAAAAGAAACTAACTTTTAGATATCAAGAAAATTGCATTAAATCTTATTAAGAAAATCTTTATCAAGAATGCATTAAATCTTAATCAAGAGATATTTTAATATTCCATATTTTTGGAAGATGTTAATCCTTCAGGTGCAAAAGCTAAATGTCGTGTTAAAATTTGATTATTGAAACATCAAATGCTTCTTTACATTAGAGATTCATGTCGTCGTATTTCTCCAACAATACCGAATGCTATAATTCGAGGTTTCGCAGGCCGGTAAATAAATAATAGTGCTTTAAAAAAGAAAAACAATGTCTACAATTAATTTAAGTGGTTGGAAGGTTAATAGATTTTTATTTATTTATGTACTTATTAATCAATTAATCAGCTTATTTATGCATATTTTTTCATATTAGATTCGAGAACTAAAACTTTTCTCACTCTCTTATAAAACTCGTTTACCCAAAGATGTAATATTTTCGAAATTTGTTATAGGTTTTTTGCCTAATCTTTTTCTTGGTTTCTGCATATGCCATACCATATGAAAAAAGCGATGCTCTCGGAGGGTTGAATAAAACGAAAGGAAAAGTTCCAGAAGCTTCCAATGAGAAGAAAGATACTATTCTTAAACGATATGGAAACGGAAGAATTGGACGCTTAGAGTTCTTTAGATTTTATTTGGATAGGAAAAATAAAGATAGGAAGAAAAGATATTAATCAAATGTAAGTAATTAATTTTTACTAAGTAAAATAATTGTTTTAAAATACTATTTTATGCATAACGATGGAATGATTTATAATTTAAATAATTTTCTTTATTTATCATAACTATTTATCTAAATCATTGTTTAATAAAACACCATTAAAAATAAATAGTTGCATTATACTAAATCATCTGAATTCTTCATCTTCATCTGAATTATTGCACGTTAAAATCCCGTCCAAAAGCTTAAAAGTATAAAATCTTGAACTTTTCTTAGATATAGGTACATTATAGCTCGATATTTCACTGATGAAACGAAATTCGGATTTGGGCAAACAAAATGAATTAAACTTTTTAAATCAAAATATTTAGTTTTTGGATGCTTCAACTAACGAAATTTCCAAACTTTTTCTAGGTAAAGTAACCTGGTCATATCTACCAAAATCTCGTTAGAAAATGTATAATGATTTGCAATTAATGGCCATTTCAATATAAGCTTAAATTCTTCAAATTCTGACCCTTGCCTTACTTAATATTTTTGCTGTTCCGTCTGAAAATTTGATGAACTGAGTTAACGTTAATAGGGAATGCTAAGCGCCTATGAGTTAAGATTAATTTAAAATTATATATAAAAGTAATAATAATAAAGAATATAGTATAAGTAAACGTAAAAAAAGGAACGGAAAAACATACTTTTTGAAATGCATGATATGTCAAATATCAATTTTCTTAATTAAAAGTTAAAATAATTAAAATCGATAAACACATTTCAAATAGTTATAATAATTAATTGATTGTTTTAATATTAAAAGAGGTAAATTGATTTATCCGTTAATTATATGCATTTTATACCTATACAAAAAGTACTGATTTTGAACGTATGTACCTTGACTGTAATACATTTTGGTATACAGTTGCCTCTATTTTTGATATTGAGATAAACTAAGTGCAATTTTAAGTAAAGAACGGTAGCTATCATGCAGAAAATTATGTTAAATTAACAAAATAACATTAAAACAATGAAACATTAACAATAAAACATTTTTGAAACAATGAGTGCGAATATGTTACTAAAAATGTGCTTGCTTTTTAAACAAAATGTTTTTGCTATGAAGTCATAAATGGATTCTAATGCATAATGTGTTTTCAGTAAATAAACAAACAAAAAATGGGGAAATGTGTAAATAAAACTAAAACAGCGAAACAGTAAGTAAAAAATGAGACTAATAAAAATTTTAGTATCAAAAATGGTGTTACCTCAACACCAAAAATGGTGGAAATTAAATATACCAAATTTCTTTACTGTGCAGTGTACTTGAAAATTTGAATTCCTTTTACACTAAGATTAATAAGCACTTAATATGCGTTTTTTTTTTATCTTTTATTTGCCTTTTTGCTATCAAAGTTAATTACTTTAAAATCTTCTGCAGTAATACAAACATATAACAAGCTAAATCTTAATTCTTTAGATGTGAAAATTATCGAAGAAGGAAATTAAAATTCAATCATTTCTTTTAACCCAGAGCTTCTATTTTCAGTAAAATCAGCAAATTCGTAAAAAAAAAGTTATTGCGAAACGATAACAATTTTCAAAATAGATGTAGAAAAATAAAACAGCCAGTTAGCTTTATTATTATATTTAGTGGGCATCTTAATCGTGCGAAATACAACAATTTTTAATAAGGAATTTTAATGTAATTCACTCACTTTCCATTTACGGACACAAGTTGATTCGTATACTGTGGCCGTTTGTTATCTTTACTTCAACCAGATACTAGCTGCATACAAGGGGTATTTTATTAATTGATTTGTTTTTTTAAACATCATACAAACATTGAAAAAATTAGCGTCCTGTAGTTTCCGTGTCATATTTATGTATAATTTGATTTCTCAATTTTGGTGTTATGTTGATATTTCATAGTATTGTAAATTAATTTATAAAATACACAGAGAACAAATTTCTTTGCAGCAACTAATCAACCTGTCTAACTTTATTACTTGATATTACCTAATCGGGTTATGGAGATATCAAACCTGAAATCAGTTTTGCTCCTAAAGCTACATATTTTCTTAATAACATTTTTAGTCTATTTTTTTGTCAAAATGTACAAGTTTCAAAACGTTATATATGTCAAGGGGTCGCATAAATGTTGCGACAAACTTCTAGGGCAGTTAAGAGTTAAGATTGCATGGAAAAATAAGCCCGGAGATGTCATCATACGCCGTTAGAAGCAAATATTTATCATAAATTGTTTCTTCTTATGGTTCTGAACAAGTCATAATAGGTTTGCTCTCCTAGCGGCGTATGACGACCTTTCAAGGGATGGGTTTCTACACAACTTTAATCCTAATGATGTGTCCTGACTCCTAGTGAAGTTTGTCGCATCATTTACGCCACCCCTTATTATATACAACGTTTTTAGTTTCTACATTTTGACAAAAAAAAATAGATTAAAGTGTTATTTTTTAGGAATTAAAACTGGAGCATAGACAGTTAAACCTATTGCATATTTGAAATCAGAGATACAAAAGTATCTAAGACCTGTTAAAAAACGCATATAACAAAATATAAAAAAATAAGTTTTGACCAGTGTTATTATTTCTTTTGTATATATATTTCTTTCAGGTCAACAACATATTTGAAATAATTTTAAAGATGAAGAATCATGGCGTTTGAAGGATAAAATGATATTGTTTTCTACTTTTATTGAAGATATGTATATTTGTTAATACTATAAATAAAGCTTTTCTTTCGAATTCAGAAATAAGTATTTTTCGAATTTAAAATGTTTAAAGGATTCTAATTAATAGTGAATAGCATTTGAATTAAATCGAAAGCTTCTACAAATCGGTAGAAAAACCCGCTAATTTTACTTGCATCATTTGACTTTTTGAATTTGTTCATTCTATTTTAAAGGGGAAGGCAAGGAAAGCAAGGCAAATTGAAAATATAAGGATAACAAAATTTTAATCCGCAATTTCCGCTCTTACTTATATGTACATTATTTTTATAATTTTGAACTCTTACTGGGGGAGGAATATCATTTTTAAAGTAAAATAAAAACGTTATCGAAACTAACAAATTGTTAAGTTCAGTCTGTCTCTAGGCTTGATTAAAAGCATAAAAAATAAGCTTCTTATCGGATGAAGCTGAAAAGTAAGTCCAATAAGTCTTTGTCATCTGTCTTAGTTCCATTGAACTATCAGCTGACTTTATTTTTTTTAATTTCAGCTTATTCACTGTAAATAAAAATAGATTTTGATAACATTTCAGCTTACAAATTTATGAAAAAAGAAATGTTTATTGAAATAATAATTTTCAGACTTAAAAATCACATAAAATGAATTATTATTAAAAAAAATAAAAATAAATGAAACTGATAGTGCAATAACTACTTCAAAAAGTAAAAAAAAAATACAACAAAAATTATTTACTAATATTTATTATTCCTATACCATAATGGAATAAAATTCAGAAATTTAATTTTAAGGTACTCGAATGACTTCCGACACCGAATTTTAAAATTGTTTGATAAGATTCTTTTTATTCGATTTTGCTGCGTATTATGTAATAAAACATAATTTTAATGCATCTAAACTTAAAAGAAATGATATTATTGGAAATTTCAGGGGACTTAAAAGGGATCATAATTAGTTAAATAAAACTGTAGAAAAATTGTCTTTAAATTATAATGACTTATTCTCGAATTGATAAAGAAATAAAATTCGAATGTTTTTCTGGAAATAAAAATATTTTTGTATTTATACGCAAAAATGAGAAATTCTATGGTTTTAGAAATCGGATGTTTAAATACACAAAGAAAAAAATTCTGGCAACATTACTGCACTGTAATGACATTTCAGGTCTAAAAAAATAAAAAAAGAAGAACATAATTAGGTAATAAAAATCAAAATAATCGGTATTTAAATCATTCAGTTGATAATTTTTTTTATACCGTAACGGTTTACCGGAAATACTGGTTTCCAAAATTATGGTTCTCATTACCACACGTTTAGTAAAAGATACTAAAAAGTAAATTTTACCGAATAAACCATTTTTTTTTTTGCCATGCTCTAAGGTATCATGATAAAATTACAAAAAATTTTCCAAAATTTAACAAATTTTATCAACGTTATAAAACCATATTTTATTGTTACTTTTACCTAAACGTTTCGGTAAAATTTACCAAGTTATTTGGTATTCCCATGGAGGCAGAAATACAGTAAATTTTACCATATTCTTGTAGCCTTAACCGTACTTTTTTTCTTAGTGTAATAATTACAACTTTACTTCATTCTATTAATTTCTGTTTTCTTAAAAATAATATATTTTTACATAAATAATATATTTCTGCATAAATTAATGTTTAAGTAACATCCTTCCTGAAAATCAAGATCATTTTCATTTAAAACATCCAAATGCGTAATGCATAGCACAAAGATCACTATCTTACTTGAAATATCATAATTTTTTTTATGATACATGAAGCTTATTGTTCATTAGTACGCTTGTTTGTTTACAGAACAATTTTAGTAAGCATAATGAAACTATTCTCGTCATTATTGTGAAGAAAAAGTGTTTAAAACAAAATGTAGAAGAATTATTATATATGTTATAGAATTACTGGCACACATGAGCATAAAATGTTTGCGTTTACTAAAACGTTATGTGTTTTGAATTTTTGCATGGAAAACATTATTAAATGATAAGCGATAAGCAGAGAGCTTGCCGCACTTAACTATACTCAATACTCAACATTAAATGAGAATAATGATAATCTAACCAGCAAAAAAAATCGGATCAAATTAAGGTATAAAGTACCGGCTTTTTGGATGCATTATTCGCAAAATCCACTTTACCGTAAAATCCATTTTTACCATAAAATATTACACCGTAATTTTTAGAATTACATTTATTAATTTAGATTGATTCAGTGATTTTACAGTAACTTTTACTGTAAAAACTACGGTATATCAGATTTTTCGTTCCTTAGCATGATCCGGTAAAACAGTACGACAAACAGTACCGGTACCCTGAATGACAGTACATTTTACCATTATTTGATTCCGAATTTTGACTGTGTAGGGTAAAATAACTGGCATAAATTATAGCTATGGTTAAAAGTTTAGTTTTAATTTGAAAATTTGATTCATTGAGCTTTAATATGAGGCACATTTACCATCGAATTAAATGTTACATTTCATCTTATCAGCAATAACTCGAGTGTTCATCGTTTTGAAGCAAGTTTGATACATTACTAATATTTATATTTTTTAAATAGTTTCAAAACTAACTAATACGTTAATACAATTAGAGGAAATAAATTGGAATTATTTTCATTGTAAGCCTGTAAAACTTCGCTGCAAATATCTAAATAACCAAATAAAAATAGACCCAAATTACTTATGCCGATTGTACCCAAATTATTATGATTTTTTGCTAGAAAACATTCATTTACGAAAACTAATAAATATAATTATGTGGTAAGCGAGTGGCACTCGGAGTCTTGTTGGTTCCTTAACTATTTTTTGTTGGGCGTGCCTGTTTTGAAAATATCATTTTGAAGACGTTAATAAATCTTGCCCAACATCTCTGAAGCGCTTCGAACTCCCTTGTCTGTTCCGTTTTGAAGAACAATAAGCTTCTGTTTGATTTTGTTCTTGATCTACTTATTAAATATATATCTGACGAAATTCAAAACATATAACATATTTTGGAAGTGTAAAGAGAATTGTGTAATTATTTTACGCAATATTACTATGAATTGAAATGCATGACAAAGATATTTTGAAGGGTATAATGTGAGAATTTTAGATTGGCTATGGGAACTATGACAGCAATTGCTTTTGGTTTTCTTTTTCACTTAGTTAGAGAATCATATAATTTTTTCCGTTTTAAATATCCCAGTGATTTTAGATATTGTTTGATAAGTAAATCATAGTTAGAGTTTGAAATTGAATTCTTATTAAAGGGCTGAGATGCAACTCTAAACTGAGAAAAAAGTATAGTCAAAATTACCTGAATATGGTAACATTTATCGTATTTCTTGTTCTATGGGAACACCAAAAAGCTCGGGAGTTTTTACAGAACACTTTGGAAAATATTTTGGTAAAACAACTATAAAATATGGTTTATAATGTGTGATAAAAATTGGTAAATGTGGTAAAATTAGGTTATTTTAGCATGACATCAGAACCATTCATTCGGTTAAATTTGCCTTTCAGTTTCGTACTTTTTACTAAATGTATGGCAATAAAAACTATAATTTTGAAAGTTAAAATTTCCAGATAACCGTTACCAAATAAAACAGTAAAATAACGAAATAAATGGTTCAAATACCTCATGGTTTCGTAAAATAGATCTGTGGTTTATTTTTTCCTGAATAGTCGTTACCATAGTACGGTTAATTTTTTTCTACTTTACTTTATTAGTTCGTTAATTGTACTTGCCATACACTTTTAGAAAAATGACTTTCCATGATTTCGGCACGTTAAGTCTCAATATGGTAAGATTATGATGCAAACTTTAAAAAGAGAATTTAAAAATTCCGTAATAGGGTTCAATTTAGCCTCATATTAGCAAATTTGAGAGATATTCTGGTTCACTCTCCAGAATTTTTAATAGCGTGAATACAAAAAATAATGGCATTTTTTGTTACTCTGACTGATAAAAATAAAATTTTTAAAGCAGTGTGTACCGTATTTCACATAAAATGTACGATATTGAAAAAGATTAAAAAAAAGTAGTAACTTAAAAAGGTACGTAAGTAGGTAAAAGGAATCCAGAATTTTGATCTCTCAAAGAGTTTTCCTTCTTTAGGTACACATGGATCCTATGATCCTGAGAAGCTTTCGGGTTCTTTGCTCTTTCGTTCTGTTTCGAATCAGAATTAGTTTTTAACACTCTTTGACAGCTTTATCCTCTCTCAAAAAAAATAAGCTCAGTGAGAAACTATTGCACTGCAAAAAATGTTCGGGTTTCTGAGGACTGAAAATGGTAACAACTCCTTTACTACGAAGTAGTGTATTATTCGTGTTCTACGACACCAAGAATCATGGACAATTCCTGGTGAAGTGACACTCCTAGAATATTTCTTACACCACTTGGTGTTGATTAGCAACCAACACTTTTGTTTTTCAGTAACACTAAAATTCATAACTATAGTGAGATTTGATATACATAAGAATCAGTGAATTTACTTTTACGATGTAATATAAAGCGAAAATCATAAACTTAGAACTCATATATGAAATTTTTCTTGAAATAAAATTGATTTCTTAATCAAACTTTCCCACAATACAGTAAAAAGACATATGAATTCTAACTAGGCTTAACAAAACCGAAGTGGATACAAATTTAATAATTTAAATGTATTTTATACAGTACGCATATATTTAAAAATTGAAATATAATTATCCTTATAATACAACTAAAATCATCTATATTATATAAAACGCTAATACGCACGTATGTATGTATGTATCAATAAAACCGATGATATTTCTTTTCTCGCGCTGGCAACAGTTTTCATTTTTAATTGATTGGATTCGGCGCGCAAGAGCACGTAGTGAGCAACCAGATAACAATAACCAGAGTGAGCATTATCAGGTTGTTCAATTCAGATTCATGCACTAAAAAC